CCGGTTCTGTTTAGTTATAAGCTAAAAGTATCAACCATGTAAAAAGGGTCTTTGATTGTTATTACTTTTGCAGGAGCTATGACGTCATTCCTTGCGGCAACCACTGGAATATTACAGAATGATCTAAAGAGGGTCATAGCTTATTCAACAAGCAGATTCTGCGACTCTACAAAGTCTCTATTCTTTGGCTTTGTGTAAGTAAACCGTCCACTTCCCTTAGGGATCTAAGGAGTTAAACAACAAAAAGAATGGCGACAGTTATTGCATAAGTTTTGACTACAAAAGAAAATAATTATAGGATGGCTACATAATACTGAAATATATCCATTGTTTTACAGAATATAACCAGTGAAGTGCTAAATTTCGTGCATATCCAATCTGAACGAGAAAGAACTAACTTGAGCTCTCTGTTACCTTTATTAAAGAACCATCAAGAGAATCACATTAAACAAATAAATGAATAGGAACAGAGCAAAAAGGAATAGCATACATGATATACTGATATCAAGAATCAGAACAACATGAGATGATAAAGAGCAAGTACTTACTCAATGCAGCATCATGGTCATTGAAGGTTTTCTTCATGGAGTTTGTGAAGTGATACTAATATTTTTCAAAGCCGGTGCAATGTGAATCCTGCAAGCTTTTAATCAAGTGTCGATATGTTCTTTAGATACATAACATAAATAAATATATTATAATTGAAATACATCAAAATTCTCATGAACATTATAACTTTCATGGAAAAAAAAAACTAAATCAATTACGAAGCAAAATGTCAATTTTTTTAATTTGAAATTGCGATCTATACTTTTACAATCAGTTTATAAGCATATTTTTAATGTAGTCTATGCTAAATATTTCTCACGAGTTGGAGATTAAAACAAAATTGTTATATAAGTATTTTTCTATCTTTTTTGCAACTGATACAATCCTACCAGAATTTATGTTGCTCAGACACTTAAAAAATGTCGGTGCTGGTCGAATTTGTCAAAAGTACTGTAATTTTGAAAAATCCAACATGGGTGCGACATCAAAAGTGAAGAGTCTGCGCAAATTTCTGTTAAGTTAACAAACAGGACAACATAGTAGTTTTTATAGAAATTTCAATAAAATCTGTAGATGCACAAGTTAGATCGGATACTAATTACTCTTTAATCATTTTTTAGTTGGTCAATAAGTCCACATCATGATGATCCAATTGTTAATAGAGGATAAATCTAGACCATTTAGCGTAGTTTTAAAGAAAAGTAGGTCAATTTTTCAAGATAAAAGAAAATCACGTTCATTAAAAACAATGAAGTGGACAAACCTCCATCAGCTAATGCCAAAGACTTTTCCTCGTGCCATTGTTCTTGAGGCAAAAGCTCAACTGCCACTATATCACCATCAAAAGCCATATTCATCTTTATTTTGGGAAATGAATTGAAAGAGATAATTCTGGGCAATTTCTAGAATGAAGATAGTGAAAAGATAATTCTAGAATTACATTGTTGGTCTGTGGTACCCACTTGGAGTGACCATTCAGACTCCAATTGACACGTGTACAACACTTCAAAGTGCAATTAATATAGCTCATTGTACAATTCTTATTGCGGTGGTCGTCCATGGGATGACATTTCTATATAGTAGAAATATACAATTTTCTTTCGCTTTATACAAACACAAACGCAATGTATACATTTGTGTTTGTATAAAGTGAGAGAGGCCAGTGAGAATAGCGAGCGAGATCTGGTAGAGTGGCGAGCGAGATCTGGGAGAGGGGAGGGAGGGGAACGAAAATATATGTATATATACAATTTTTTCTCGCTTTATACAAACATAAACGCATTTTATACATTTGTGTTTGTATAAAAGCGAGAAAGGCGATGGAGACTGCCCAGCGAGAACGAGAGTGGTGAGCGAGATTCACCAGGAGAGAAGCGAAATAGCAACAGTTTGCTATGGGGTACAATTAAATCAAACTATGGTTATATCATTTAATTTGAATTAATAGTTTGCTATTATATATAATTTTCCCATATTTTAGGCAGTTGTAGTATCTGGTGATCCCTAGAAAAATATAAAGGACTACATTTACTAATTTGGGAATTTTGATATCAAATATTATTGTAAAGATACATTAATTACATACATGATTCTACTTTAATAACAGTACACGCGTAATTCAGCTGTAGAAAAACTTTATTTCCCATCAATGGTTCTTGGGCTCCACCTTATAATTCAAAGCACAACAACCAAATATCCAAATACCAAATGCAAATGCATGACAAAAACATTACAATAAACATGTAATTATGTTGCCTTTTGGGACCCCTCAAAACCCCCTCTCAATTATTAAGTGTGTTTATAGAGTTCGATCCAAACTGATCAACTTGAGAAAATCATAGTCAAAACTCTATTCTCTTTATTTTATTAAGATTCAATACAAAAAGTTGTTGTATTAACTTTGCCTTGAGAAACTTTCAATTTTCTGTTTTTTATCAACTCTAGTAGTAGTTAACAAGTTTTATTAAAATATACTTTTGACTAAATTTGCATCTATTCCTTCACTCTATATTAATTGTCAACATTATTAAAATTATTCATCTGAGTGACGTGTAAATAAGGAAATGTGATAACAAAAATATATTGAAGTAGTATATATATATATATATATATATATATATATCATTAATAAAACACTAACAAATGAGAACACAACATCTAACATTGTGCTACCTCATTCCAAATTTCATGGAATTAACTAATATTTCTGTTTAATTAATTAAACAACAACTAAATCAACTTTTTCGTCATCATCATATCATCAATTAATTAATTAAAAGTCCTTAAGTAATTTTCGGACTTGTTCCAATGTAACAAAGAGCACAATAGTAAATGGTCCTTGCCTTGAAATTGTAGGAATAAATCCCTTATACAAGGCCATTGGCCCCTCAGCTTTAATTGTCTTCATTGCACAATCAAGTGCCCCATTGTAAGGTGGAGCCGCTCCAGGCTCCACCTTCATGTTCATAACCCGAGTCTTAATTACATCCACCGGATTTGTCACCACCGCTGCCACAAAACCCGCGGCAAAACTCGCCGTCACGTGGGTCCCGAGTCCATCTTTCATCAAACCTTTTGCTAAAATCATTTCCTTAAACTCATCGTAAGACGCAAGCTGCGAGGCCGTCACCAGCATGGCGCGGTTCACAGTAAGGGATGAACCGCGCCACAGGCTAGTAACGCCCTCGTTTTTGCTCATTTGGGTTATTGCATCCACCACGCTCTTGTAATTCCGCCGCTGCGCGGCGGGTAGTCGGCCGTCGGCTTGCATCCGTACCATTGCCACGTCAGCAGGGTTGCCGACGGCGGCCCCAATTCCGCCGGCGATCAGTCCGGCGACAATTTTTTTCCCCAAAGGCATGTTTTTCGTATTCGGGTCGGTCCATTTTTTCTTCAACATATCGTATAATCCCATTCGGGTCGTCGAATAAAGGGTCTGCCGGAGGACGGTGGCGGATATGCCGGAAAAAAGAGCGGCGACGCCTTCTTGCTGGACGATCCGTACACCGACGGCAACGGGCCCCACACGAGGAGCAACTGGGACATGGGCATTAGTTGTATTATTGGGAGGATGAAAAGCAAGAGCAGGGCGAAGCGTCTGCATCTGAGTAGATGCAGATGCTTCGCCCTGAAGCTGCATACGTACCTTGATGAGATCAAGTGGATGTGTACTACATCCAGCAATAATAGAAGCAATGCCTCCTTCAACAAAACCTTTAACACCCATATTAATCAAGATCTACTCCAAACAAAAACAAAAAATTGATGAAAAATGAAAAAAAATATGTAAAGGGGATCAAGATCTTGTGTTTTTTTTTGAGTTATAGGGAAAAATTATGACCAATTGGAATTAGAGGATATTTCACTAGAAACCAGGAGATGAGAGTGAATGGAAAAAGCTATCGATGCAAAGTGTGGATCTCGACATATGCTAGAGAGAAACGAATTTGGTTGGGTGAGAGAAAGAAGGGGAAAAAGGGAATTTATAGGGAAAAGTAATAGAGAGAGAAAAAGGAAATAGCACCGAGCTAAATGAAGTGGTTGAAAGTCCTGACTCGTGAGGTCTCGTATTGAAATTTCAGTAGAGAGTAATTCTTTTTAGCTGTTCTACCTTTGATAGACAGAATTATTCGATAGCTATTATTGATAATAGTTAATAGATATTTCATGAAATTAGTGTAAATATAAAAAAACCGATTCGGACAATACGATAATTGAAAAATCAAAAGAAAGGAAATGGAAATTACACTTTCGAAGTATGCGTGATTTCTGTTTCTAAAACAATAATGTAGTATAGCATGTGGAGTTGGGATTTACAGCTAAGGTTAAATTTGTTAATTTTGTTTTGTTTCAACCAATATTTATGCGGTTGTGGGTCCCCAACTCATCAAATTATTGGAATTTGGAATTAATGACCTCTTAACATATGAAAGTCTAAAATTTAAGAGTCGCTAAAAAAAAGGAAAAAGACATACTTGTTTAAAACGAAAAAACAAAGAAATATAGCACAAATAAATTGAAAATGTAATGAACATTTTATTTGTTTGTTTATTTTTTATTCTCAATTAATATGACATATTATTTTATTAAACTTTTTCATAGTCTTGTTCATGACATCTTTCGATTTTATTTTTTTCTATGTAATCCTATAAATAAAGATATCGAAAATCATGTCGGTTACCCTTCAAAGAAAATGACTCATTTTTTTGTCTCCGTATTTACATGTTACATGTTTTGACGTTTTAAGAAGCTTCATTTATTCTTCTTTTTATTAAAATAAAAAGAGGAGAACATTTAAAAAATGTCTTATAAGAAAAGCAAGGGAATCCAACAAATTAAAGATGCTGACAATCTCTGGCGTCTGACTCACTTGACGATTTTTACGAAATAAAAAACATATTTGTAAAAATAAAGAACAGAAAGGTGAAAAAATAATCATAAAATTATTATTTAAGAAAATTGCACATGTCTGCAATTTATTAATTAGGATTTTTTAATACCAATAGCCGAATTTATTGCTGTATTTTTTTCATATGCAATATATATTGATTGTATATAATTATACATACATTATTTATTTATTGTTAAATAAAATTAACGATGATTTATTGTTTAGATATGAAATTTATTGGTTGCTAATTCCTATTTTATTACTAATAGTGACTATTATTGGGTAGTATTTGTTGTCACAGTAATTTGTGGTAGTATTTATTGTCACAGTAATTTGTAACTTTGAAAACTAATTATTTGGTTTAATGTTTAACATCGCTACAACAAAAAATAACTTTTAGCGCCAATAAATATACACATTAACAAAGAGTGTTAAAATATTTACTGGCATTAGTTAAATGTCATTGGATTCAATGTCGCTATAGGCTTTAGAGACATTTACAAAAAGTGTTAATTGCTGCTAAAAATGCATATTTAGTGGCAATTAAGCTATTGTCGCTAATCAATTACCGCTAAAGATTATTTTTGGTGTAGTGCATTATTTGTGAGTAAATATTTTCTATAACAATAATAACAACATCAATGTAATTATGCAAGTATGGTTCGAAAATGATAGAATGTATATCGATCTTATATCTATCTTTGTGGGTATAAAGAGAAGTTGTTTTTGATAGACTTTAGACTCAAAATATATAAAAAAAATCAAGCGGGATTGTAAGAATAATATGACAGAAAAATAACAAGATAATAGATAGTAATAAACATTGAAAAATAAGAGACTACATGACTATTATATAGCTCCCTATCTCTCCCATATAAAGTACAATCGCTACTAAATATCCTTCTACCATAAACCTCAACTTCCAAATCTTTTTATTTAGTGTCATATTCTCGCCAAGTTAAAGTCATATCGCGTCTTGTTTAATTACGTCCTCCCTATCATTTTTGGTCTATCTCGATCCTACCTCTCCCAATATACTTATTATAATTAATATATTACACCTTCTTACTAGCACATTAACACATCTCTTTTCACGTGTCCAAACCATGGCATCTCATGCAATAACTAATTCTATTGAAAATATATCTATTGTTCACATATGGATTTATGATCAAATTAGTTGCTGAAAATTCCTGGCAGTAACTAGGTAGGTGCCTACTGCCTAGTTATCACCTAATTAAATTACCACAACTTGCACTATCAATTGACACATACATTTATATCAACTTGATTCCACTTCAATTATGAAACGAAGCTTAGGACACATGCAGGGAAAAAATCAACTCAACTTGACTGCAATAAGACTTCATCTAAATTTTGGAAGACTTTGCTTAATTTCTATAATCAAAATTGACTAATAACAATTATGTCCTTATCACATACTACTAATTGTTACTAGCAAAACAATCCTAACTTCAAAGCTATAAGGGTAAAATTGTCTTTATGTAACGTATATC